AAAGAGTGACTACCCTATTTCTTACTCGTTCAGAATCGGGTAAGGCCCTGGCTCAACGAGGAAACATGTTTCCCTAAATGTTTCCTAAGGTGGCAAAACTGTCAGGAAACATCGGGAAACAATGTTTCCATGCGTCTTGGAAACATGAAATATTTCTGCCGCACAGCAAAAACATTTTTTGCGTCTTGGAAGCAAAATTTGTTGCATGCAGCAATGTTTCGCATGTGGCTAAACTGGGAAACATCGAGGAAACATGCGCGCAGTAAACATGTTTCTGGAAACACGTTTCCTCCTCTAGCCAGGGCTTAAATCACGTGTATTTTCCTGAAAGTCATTAATTTTCGCGCCAATTTTTCTCGTGTAGACTGGACACCACTAGACCCAGTTTCCTTAAAATCATAACTTCCAAGATGGCGGACAGAGTGAGGTCGTCAAAGTAACGACTTCCTGTTAAAAACCATTTTACTCTTCTTCAATATTCTTCTTTCAAGTATAACTTGTGAAAATGGCCGAGATGGACCCAGATGTTGCTAAACACTTGTTTTCCGAGGGTGGAATGTTGTTAATTTTTGACGTTCCCAAAGGAACGGAGTTTGGCATCGACTACAATTCTTGGAAGGTTGGCTCAAAGTTTAAAGGAGTTAAAATGATTCCCCCTGGAATTCACTTCGTGTTTTACAGTGCTGTTAGTAAAGAAGGACAAACTGCACCAAGAACTGGTTTCTTTTGCTCCTTGGAGAAAAGGCACGTTTTGGTGAAGAAGTGGGACAGAGAGGTTGAAGATGTTGTTCAGGGAGACGAGAGTAGTGAAAATATAGAACGTATTAGAACAGGTATGTATAGTGATCGTATGTATAGTTTAAATTAGGCCCTGTTTACATGGGAGGAGGATGATCCTACGGGTAGGATCTACTTGCAGGCGAATCAACCTAGCAAGCTCACATTAGCAGGCTTCTCTCGGGTACTAGGATTGTGTTTGAATCTAGCAAAACTCATGTAAACGAAAAAGGAGAGATAAACTCGCCTACTAGGGCTAAGGGATATTTATCTTGGGACTTCTGTGGTGTGAATGAGAGTAATTACGGCCCTTTCATTCCGTATCGTTATCATGTAAACTAAACGCAAAAGTTATTTCTCCTGCTAGGAAGATCCTAGAGCTAGGATCTTCCTAGTTCCATGTAAACACCCCCTTATTAATGCCAGTGGAACCTCTCCTTACGGACAGCTCTAAATTAGGGACATCTGTATACGATAGACACCTCTATACTATTATACACCTCTATATATGCTAGGAGTAGAGGTATCCTTCAACTAAACAAAAAAGTGAGCACAAAAAGGAGCGTTGTTGTTGTAGTTTGAGGGGCCCTTGTCCAAGTCTTAAAAGTCGCATATTGATGGTTGCAAGCATTCCCAAGAGAGTTAAGAGACAAAAACATAGCGGCCATTGTGGTACCATTAACACTTGATGCTAATGATAAAATCTTTTGTTAAATGGTACCAACATGGCCATGATGACGTAATGTGCAAACGAAGAATTGAGGAGATGGACAACAAAGATTTGCTTTAATTTTTAATACATCATGTGCACTTCAACTTTTTTCTCTAAATTTTGGAAAACCCATATTTTTCTATTTGAAAGGGACTTAGCTAGGGCATCTTGGCTAAGTATCAAAGCAGGCTGTGATTGGCCGATTCGTGCATGCACCTGACACATGGCTGCAACAATCACACCCCTTTTTTTTTAAACCCTAAATCCATTTATGATGTCATATGTATTTTATACCAGTAATCTGGTATTGATTTAACGTCTTTTTATATTGCTCAAGGTATGGAGGAATTAGACCAGTACTTGGGTGCATACCCTTATGACAGTTACAAAAAATGGCTGTCACTCTCTGATAAAATAAGCCAGCCGCTTCTAGAGCGATTACAGCCAACATGTGGCAAGATATCATCTGTTACTCAAGTGCCTTCACATGAAGAATTCAGATCAGAAGCATCAAAGATGGAAATCGATGAAGAAAATCTAAATATTTCCTTTGAACAAAGTCCTGAAAATAAAATCAGGTTCACAGAGATTCCTAAGAGACGGTATCCTGAGGGAAGCAGCCCGGTAGAAATTACTCGGCACAGTTTAGACTCTACTTATATCTTGGAATGCATGATAAGTCATATGACAGGTATGGCACGTTTTTGTAGATCATGACGTAAATGGGATGATATAGGTCAGGGCACAGCTAACTAAAATTAAACCTTGATGTCGTAACCGACTTTGTGGATTTATCAGCTTCTGACATAACTAGATTTGATTGATTGTGACGTAACTAGATGCAACGATTTCTTACGTGCGCTACAGCATCAAGCGGTGAGCTTTAGAATATCAATAAATCCAAACCCATCCAATGCTCTCCCACATTACTCAACCAGGCTTGGACACTCAAGAACCATGGTATAAATTCAGAGTAAGACTTGCTAAAAATAGTAAATGTATATAAAAACAGCAAGAAAGTAATATATTCAAGCATTTTCTGCAATTCTCATTATTTTATGAACTCAGAAATTTCATTGCCTTGTCATGAAATTGGTTTTTCGCTGCCGTCAATGAAAACACCATTCTGTTTCTTTTACTTTTTTGACTGGCAGCAGTGAAAAATCAAAATCTAATTCTAACTGAGTACACAGAGTATTGGGAAACACAGTAATGAAACCACAGTAATAATTTCTGAAATGACTTAGACATTTTTCTTTTTTTTATCTAGATAAAATGGAAATACTTGGAGAGTTGCAGTTTGCATTTGTTTGTTTTCTTTTGGGGCAAGGTAAACATATAGCATTTACACTTGTTGTATTTATATAACCAACAGCTTTTCCTATTTTATTCCATTCATCCATCCACTTCTACCTCCCCTTCTTTTCCCGTCTCATTAATTTTTCCATCCATTCACTTTATTACCCATTAGATTTCATTCATCAATCAATTTATCACTCTTTTTATCTCTCCTTCTTCCCATCTTTCGTCCTCCCATTTAATCCCATCTTATTCCATTGATTTCATCCATTCACCCATTCTTTCATTTGTCCCTCCAGTTACTCGGTTATTTAACACAGTTTTCTTGATTTAATGGTCATTAGTTTATGACGCATTTGAGCATTGGAAAGGTCTCGTTCAGGTGCTGTGTACGTGTGACGATGCCCTCACTAAACATCCTGATCTATTTCATGCATTTATCGGTAAGTAATCTTCTATGTTTAATAATAGTATTTCTTAGCTGATGACAATCACTGCTCAGATCAGTTGTTCTCATGGCATAATTCTATTTATTACACATTTAGGGTCGAGTTTCCATATCGTATCACTCACTCACTCGCACAAGACTTGCTCGTTCGTGATATTACATGGAAATTTGTGAATAAAAACGGTATCAAGTTCTTAACATGTGATAATCTATATACATTATATCACATTGATTGGGTGCAAATGTTTTTGAGTTCTTGAAAAAAATAAGGTTTACGACCATCACTCCCCATAATGAGGCTCTTCTGTGAAGTTTGATCCACACACACTACCACTACATACATATTTACAGCACAACACTCAACTCACATGTTGGTTTTTATGGAGGGAGAAAAACTAGAGTACCAGAACTAATCCATCCTGGAAAGGGTAATTTCTTTGGTTACTTCCCTTCCTTCGTCT